AAAAAGTAGAAGGCAGCGATGAGCAGAAAAGGAAACCTCGTGAGTGTCTCTTCCCCTCTTGGCTTCTCCTCGCTCAGATGGAGAAGAGGAGGGGAGGCTGGAGCTCCCGCAGCCGGGCTTGTCTCCCGGAGAAGTTCCTGCAACTCCAGCACAGAGCAAACCTCTTCCCTGACAAGAGCAGGAGAGGGGCTGTGAGCTCTTGAATGCATCCGCATGTTTCCTGAACACCCTTAAGAGGCGTATGCACCACAAAAAAAGCTGGTTATCGCTGGGTTTCAACATTTCCACGAAAGCCAGGAGCTGCAGCGAGCGGCCAAAAGCACCATTTTCCCCGGCGAAACACGGCTGGGGCGCTTACACCGCCTGGCAGCCCAGATTTGGATATGTGGGATTTGGGATGAGCTTTTTAACTCAAGAGCGGGCTCTGCTTCCCCGTGGGCATCCCAGCAGCCGCTGGAGCAGGAGCTGGGAGCTGGGAGCCAAGTGGCTTTGCTCCCTTCCCCCTTCCCGGCTCCATCAGCAGCTTGTTGAGACGAGCCGGCGCTGGCTGCCGCACGCTTGGCAGCCAGGGAGAGGGGAGCCTTGCCCAGGTTTGGCTGGGCGAGTTCCCCGGGTCGTGCACAGCAAATCTGGGATAAAATACACTAAATAGATTGTCCTCTCGTAATTTGGGGAACAAGGAGGTGCGGCAGTGGCGAAGGCACATGGACACGGGGTGCAGGCACAGCTGATACGCGGCGCCTGGGGGGTGAAGGATTACCAGGCAGGGTCCTGCTATCACATCAGAAAATAATTATATGGTTACACAAAACTGGAATGAAGGAGAAAGGGAAGCCCAGGGGTCCCTGCATGATTTTAAGGCAATTGCTCCCCAAATGAGCTTTTGCCGATGGGCTCAGTGGTTGACCTGCAAGAGAAGAGTCCCCGTGCCAGAGCAGGTGCTGGCTTTGCAGGTTTTCCTTTTACGTGGCCCATCTGGTGCCCATTAAACACTGTTTTTTCAGACTATCAGGGAGCACTCGCATCACGTTTCCAAAGATTTTTCTACTTCCATTAGAAAAAAGAAACTTTTTAATGTGCGAGTGGGGTGTCTCCATGGGCCTTAGTCACAATGTACCTGAAAAAAGCACCTTGACACTGATTTTTCAGCTAACGGTGACACATCATGCCAAAAAAGATCATCTCCCCCTTTTTTCCCCCCCCTAAGAGCTTGTTGCATCAAGCAGGGGCTGAGGGCCAACAGCTGGAAGCAAGAGTGAGGCAGCAGAGGCAATCGGGAGATTTGCAACCCGGCCAAGGGCTCTGCAAACCTCTGCCAGCACCCGCCTCTCCTCCTTCCACAGCCCCCTCGGAAAGGCAGGGGGAGAGGAGGAGCAGGCCTGGGGCACCGGCAGCGCTCTTCGGAACCCACGGCAAGCGCGGGCTTCGTTATCGATGTTTACATCGTTCTTTCCTGTTTCCTTTTTTGTACTAAAATTGGAAATCCCCAGCGTGGCCAGGCTGCCGTTGGACACTCCTGGCAGCCGTGTTACTGAGCATAAACAACCAGGGAGCCCTTTACTGCACTATATATGGACAAAGAGTCAAACTCCCTTTTTAATTTTGAAATAAAATGCACCCCTCCCCCCATAAAAAGCACACGCTTTCATTTTAAAGCGTGCTTACTCCTTGCAGTTTGTTTCATCTGAGATAGCTCCGCTGGAGAACATTCCCTACAAGCCAAAAAGCAGAAGTGCAGGGTAAAGCGAGCATCCAGGGCACCGGTTTCTGCCTTCTGCATGAAACGTTGCAGGCTGTTTTGTTTATCATGTGGAAAAGAGCCCGGAGGGCGTTTGGATGGAAGCAAAACTGCAAACGGCTGAATTGCGTAACCAGGAATCACGGCCGCGTATCACCGTCTTCCTCGCAGCTCAGAAAGGACACGGCAGCGGCCGAGAGCTGCAGGATGCACGTAGGATCTGAGCTTCCTCCGTGGATGCTGATGTGACAAACCCCACCGCCTCCACGGAGCTTTTCCTGGGTCTCCCCGCCCGTGCGAGACGTGGGGAATAACGGCGTTGCAGAAAGCTTTCCCCGACGTCACGTTTCGCTTCGCCGTACGCGGCTTTGCGGATAATCTTTTTAAGCACCTCCCAATGTCCTGCTCAGCATCCAGTACGCTTCCGCATGGGAGAATTGGTAAAATTGCATTAAAAGGGCGTTAGGATCAGACCACCAGCTTTCATGTCAGTGACTGGAACAGTCACGTTGCAATAACCGTCTTGCTGAAAAAAAAAAAAAAAAGGCAAAAAAAAAGCTGGGGTTGTTTCGCTTAAAAACAATAAGCACATAAATTATTCTTCATGGCTACCTACTTCCCTTCTCCCTGACCACACAACGTTTACCGCGGTTACTCTGGATCCAACGAGGGTTTGTAGCTGCTTGTAAATCTGGGCAGTTTTTCCCCCTCCAGCTCGTCGAGAGCATCGAGCCTGGGAAGGTCACGTAATCTGCTCCTGGGCAGAGGCTGCGCAGAGGCGCACGTGCCAGCCTGCCGACTTGCCGCTCACCACGGTGTGCAAGAACTTCATCTCCCAACAGCCCAGCTCAAGCTTTTCCTATAGGTTGGAAGAAATTCTGGTCTCAAAAATAGAGATGAACAAGGTAGGTGCCCTGAATCCCGGCAGTCGGCTGCTTGAAGGAGATGATGCTCAGCCGTGGCTTCCTCTCACAGTTCCTGGCTTACCAGAAGTCGCCAGGGGGAGAGGAACCATTTTGAGTGTTCACCACGAAAACCATCCTACACCATGAGAAGTGGGTTTGCAAGTCTTGCTTCGAGAAGGTAATTAATTGCTCGCAGTGTGCGAAGTAATCAAGTCCCGTTGAGACCTGATTAACTCCAAACTGATGGAATCGCTGACACTGTTAGCACAGTCCTGGGTGTAATTTTGCTGTGGGTCAACTTGAACACCTCCAAATAACTCCTGAGGAGTTAGCACGGGCCGTGGATGGTTTCAGGAGGCCGCTGGGATAAAGCGACTCTTCTCCTGGGGCTAAGAGAGTTCAGTAGTGGGGATGTGGCCAGACTTTGTCAGTGGTCCTCGAGGCCTCAGAGTTGTTGAATTTACTAATATCGTTGTTGCTGCTGAGGTCAAAATCAGGAAAAATAAGAGAAACTCTCCAAATCCAGATGGCTTTTGTTAAGGTTGGGATTTTAGGCAAATATTCTCCACGTGTGCACCAATACAGCTGGCGTTCAGGTGCGGCACAAGAAGGAAGGGTTGAAGGAAACCATTTTAGATGATGTAGCCTCCATTTTAGACAGACACCATGTCCCACGGAAGAGGCTCCTCACTTCCAACGGCCAACCTCACAGTGCTGACAAGCTCTGAAGGGTCCTGCGGGATGCAACACCCCACAAATGGGGGAAGAAGTCTGATTTCACAACCGGATGGCCCTGACGAGATGTGACTTCGATGAGTGCCTGCATCTGGGAGGGCTTTTAGCTCTTCTTCTGCTGGTGTCAGCTGTCAACGCTCGGTTTGGGAAGGAGGGCGATGAGCAATGACGGGGTGGTTGACTTGCGTAAGTCAGCGCAATTGCAGCCGTCAGGAAGACGAGTTTCTGTTTCAGGAAACCCAAATGGCAGCATCGAAATTCATGGAGGATGCTTTTTAGGAAATTTTCATACTTTTCTTCAACTGCACAGTTGATAAAAATTTACTTAGTTTTCCCCTCCCCACATTTCTTCCTCAAATGTCTTGATGCCATGAGCTGAGGATTTTAACAGCACCACGTTCCAAAGACTGCACGAATTAACAACTTTAAGATTGACACCTGGATTTTCCCAGTCTGGAGTTGCTCAGATTACAGTATGTGTTGGTCCTTTGTGACAGCAATGATATGCAGGAAAATCTAGTAAAAAACCTCCAGTTTATTTGGTTAATTTGGTATCGGTAGCTTGGGTCTGATTCACCTCCTATCAAAACAAAATTAATGATATTAATAGATTCAAAATGTCAATTAAGTGGTTTATCCTGAGCTCATGTATTCAGAAATTAATAATCCCTTGGGGTTGAGGGACAGAGGCCAAAGAGAAATGCCAGGCAGTGCAGTGGGTGGGTAAAACCAAGCCAAACTTATTCAACTGCTCAGCGTTGTTGGACTCAAACTAACAATATTAATTGAATTTAAAGCTGTGAGTAATGGTCATCCCGTGGACATGGGTTTTTTATGTATGGCATTTTTTTTCCCATTGTGTTTTTTTTCCCCATTTTAAAATGTTGCACAATTAATTAAAAAAAAAAAAAAGGGTGTGTTTCTCACATAGCAATATTGGGAACACTACAAAGAAAGTTAAAAATCCCCAACACCCCAGAAATAAGCATATCTTAGTTCTACTACACAAAACAAGCGAAACCATCACCAAGTATTTTTAATTGGGGTTTCTTATTTATGGGATTGTGGAGATTCACCAAGATTCCCTGTCAAATTCTGAGACCAAGGTTTCGTGAGATAGGAAAGGAAACCTCTGTTGTAGATAACCGGTTTAAAAATTTTGAGAAACCAAGGGTAGGAATAAATATTTTCATGTCCATTCCCCAAGGTAGGAGGATAACAGATGGAATCCCTCACAGATCTGGACCGGGCGATCTGTTGTTCAACACGTCATTACAAAAATCTAACCAGGGAGTGAGTTGTGAAGTGACAACATCTACAGGCAAAATTGTCCCAAACAGCCGTACCTGAAACCTGGGAAAGATCTCTCAGCACGATGCGATGAGGAGATACAATGGCAGATGTGACTTAATGTCAGTTAAGAAACACATCTTGGAAAAATTATGCTAATCACATGTATACAGTCACAGGCTCTAAATCAGCTATTACCTCTCAGCAATAAAGAAATCTGGGGGTGATTGTTGATAGTTGTCCGAGAAGACCAGCTTGACACTCAGCTGTTGGCAGCTGTTAGAAAAGAAGCCAAAATAGTAAACATCATTATGCTGATGTAGAATGACGTGCTACATTTTGATGACCGGTGCCAATCTGGCCACCCCATCTCTGAAAGAGTATGTAAACCTCCTAATGTTACAGAGAAGGGTTATCATGGTTAATCAGAGGGAGAAGTCAGCTTCTGCGTGAAGGGAGTCTGTGAAGGACGTGACTGGTGGGGCAGGGAGGGAGAACGTGATAGAGCTCCTGACTCACAAATAGTGCAGGGACAAGGAAGGAATAATTAGGCAGTAAACACCTAAGACAAAAGCTGGAGACACTGAAGAAATTCCCAGGCAAACAAAAGCAAATAAATGTTTTCACGTAACACATCGGCCCCTGGTGAAACTGCAGCGGCAGGATATGGAGGAGACCAAACGAATTAAAAGGGTTCAAAAAGGGACTAAAGAAATTAATGGATTAGAGGTGCATTAGTGCTATTAAACACAATAGGCGGATGCTCTCCAGATTAAAAGTGGGACTATTAACCACAGAAAAGCTTTCTGCCCTACATGAAATGATCTCAATGCAAGATCTCAAAGGCCGCTCCCATGACACGCGCTCATCGTCGGTGCTACCGCGCTCCTCACATTTGGCGATGTCACAGGGTGTCAGCTCCAAACCTTCTCGTTTGGGGGTCAGGAACACTGACGTATCGATGAGTTTTACACACCAGTATCAAGCACGTTACATTTTACTGGTATATAAAGGAATTAGCTGCCCAGGACCGAGATATTTAAGCAGTGGATCACACACACATACTGCTCTCATTGTATTATTAAACACCCTAACACTACACCTATACCAAATCTCTAAATCTGGACTATAGACAGGCACCGTTAGTACTTTTCTTCCTCAGATTTAGCCCACTTAGCTTACTTTTGGCTAAAATTTAATCTGACATCAACCCCAAACTCTTGACAATACAGGCAGAATTAGTGCCATGAGAATCAGTCGAGCTGGGAAGGAGAGAGGTCAAATAATGTCCTAAGGGGAGACTTTTCCATGGTTTTGGAAGGATTTTGCAAGATTTGGGACAGACAGCTGATCAGTGCAATTATTTATTCATTCATGCATTTATGGCAGTTTTTTTAATGAGCTGTAAATGTTTTTTTTAAAACACGGGGGTGAAGAAATACTTCTGGAAGCAGGAAGCGTCTGTGCATGATGCTGTGGCCATACTCTGCGCCTGGGCTGGGTATCCAGCCTAGGCAGGACTGGGCTTACTTGCAACGCAGATGAGCGTCTACAGCTCAACACTCCTTCGCTTCTTGCACTCTATAAAACAACAAAATCAAAACACAAGCTCACTTTCCCTAAACTTTAACCAAACTTTCCCCTCTTTTAAGGAAATAAGACCATTTTTGGCCCACATATGCCAACCCGAGGCTGACCCACCACCTTTACTCTCCCGGTGAGGAGCAGGAGCGCCGCGGCTGAGGGCAGAGCCTCGCCCCTTCCCTCGGCGGGAGCTCGCGCCCCTCCGACGGCGAGGGGAAGGCGGGAGAGGGGCCGGCCAGGCCCTCGGGGCCCTCCACCCCACGGCGGAGGTGACCGGCGGAGGGAAGGAGGGCGGGTCGCCGAGTCACAAGCACCCCTCCAGCTGCCGGGAAGAGGGCCAGCCCCTGGCACAGCCCCTCAGGGGCCGCGGGGCGGGCGCCG